GGAATGGCTCACTTTAATCACCCGATGACGTTACAATTTTTTCAGATACTTTGAATTTATGCATGTGCACAAATTAGCAAGGAGCAAGGTAGTCACCTCTGGAACATCTACTAATAACCCCTTCCAACCCCAAGAAGCCTTTCGGCAGACCAGTGCCTGGTAAGGTTTAAAAGATTAGTACCTGCCACTCCAAGTGGTGTTTGTGATCTGGAGCTGCCCCGGGAGAAGCAGTACCCGCTCTCCAATCTGAGACGATACTTACACGCACGTGCTTTGCTCCCTTCATCTGTCCGTTTGCTTCTGGGCGTCCTGTTCCATGCGGCAAGACTGACCTAGCCTCAGCCTCTCGGGCCCCCTGTGATTCCTCTTTCCCGGGTTCTGGAGGGTGATCATCTACATCTGAGCTGCCCCCAGTGACTCCCCAGAGTGAAACCCGTCCGCTACAAAGTCAGCAGTTCAAGTCGGGCCCCACACGCGCCCTTCGTGGCTGGCCGCTTCCTCACAGTGCAGGAGGCAACCAACAGCCAGAGAAAAGCTCTCCTTTATGTCCACGATGCACTAGGCTCGCCCAGGCCTGTGTTATTTAACGGGACTAATTCTTCCCAGATCAGAGCAATAAACTCTTGCAAGGATATAGTTCAAACCTTTGTAGTCAGTCGCTGAAAGCAGGAGCTCTGAAACATACTGACGTAGTTACTCGTTCTACAAACAGAGGCTGATGAGTTGCTCATGGAGAGTCCAGGTAGGTCACGCTCACCTTGATGGGACTCGAGCATTAGCTTTCCCTGGGCCGTTGGTTTTCTTCCAGCTCTAAGTTCACTCTCTGTCTGAATGCCGAGGTTTTCACAACACCGAGATGCCAATGCAAGAATTTCTATTGGCATTTTTGCATGTGGGGGTGGCTCTGTGTGCGCGTGCGCGTGCGTGTGTGCGTGTCAGTCTGTGTTTTGGAGATCCGTGCATGAGGAAACGGCATGTCAGTGTCCTTCTGCATATGCTCTTCCCTCCGGCTCAGAGGCCTTCCTCACCCCACCTCCTCCCTCACCCATTCCTCACTGTCTGGATTCTTCCCAGGTGTCGCCTCTAGCCTGTTCGTGACGCAGCACCTGTTCCTCCCCCTCCCTGTTTTTATCACACCGAGGAATAGCACCTTGTCCCGGTGTCTATATTTGATTAAAGGACTTTAGGCGCCCCAAGGGCAGGAACCGTATTTCTTTGATTTATAGCAGTATCATCAATGTCTAACAGGAAAGACAATAAATTCCTTTGAAATCAGGTTAAACTGGTTCAAGACCCCCCCCACCCACAACCTGCAGCTCAGGAACACGCCTCAGGAAGGTGAGGACCAGGCCCCAGGATTCACGATCAGGCATGTCCCTCTGCAAACCCACACTCCTGCTGGCCTCTGAGGCCTGGCACCAGTGCAACCCAGGTGGGTCGTCTGGGCACTCACCCTCTCCCCCTACCTCTGTCTGCAGGGGATTGGCCGGAGCTGAGGCTGGTGGGCGGCTCGGGACGCTGCTCAGGACGCGTAGAGGTCCTCCACCGGGAGGCCTGGGGCACCGTGTGTGATGACCTCTGGGACCTGAACGAAGCCGAGGTCGTGTGCCGACAGCTGGGGTGTGGACGGGCTGTGTCCGCCCTGGGGAAGGCCCACTTCGGCCCGGGCTCTGGAAACATCTTCCTGGACAACCTGCAGTGTTCCGGGGTAGAGCGCTACCTGGGCCAGTGTGCCCACTCGGGCTGGTCGGAGCACAACTGTGGCCACCACGAGGACGCCGGCGTCATCTGCTCAGGTAGCCCCTCTCCTCTCAGGCAATCACGTCTAACGTTGTTATTGAAGACATTTTGAAACCATGCATCCCAGATGGAATCTACCCATCCGCCCACTCTTGGTTTCATGAAACCATCCTTGAGCGTCTGCTCTGCACCAGGCCCTGGGCTCACACACACCCTTGGGCAGCGCCGGGCTGCACGTGGGAGGTCTCAAATGTTCACGTACCCCAGCACCGCCCGAGGCATTGCAGTGCAGAGTCCTGGACTCTGGCCCCAGAAATCTCGACTAATTTGGGCAGGGATGTCGGAATCTACATTTTCACAAGTAGTCCAGGTGACTCAGCAGAAGACGGGCCATGGGTGATCCAGCACTGCTTGCCGTGGGGCAGAGATGACCCTCGTGCTGTGCCTCACCCCTCCCAAGGCCAGGGACTCTGCCAGAGGACGGCTGAGTCCTGTGCCCCAAAAGGCCAGGGTCCTCTCCCTTCATTCCCCGCTTGTACCCTCGTTACCCCGCCCCCTCCATGCTTTGGATTCACTAAAGAGAGTGACCTGTTGCCTTTCTTTATGCATTCAGACGCAGAAGAACTGCCTCCCCCCACACCTCCAGGTATGTCCATATTTTTTTCTAGTCTGGACAACTTTCCGATAATAATAATAGTATCAAACTCACTGTTTTGAGCCCCTCACATATACAATTCATTTAATCCCACAATAACGCGTGGAGGCAATTACTTTTCCAGATAGGTAAACTGAGGCAAAGAAAGTTAGCAGTGTACTCAGGGCTAGCCAGTGGATTTGAACCCTTGGCCACCAGTCTCATTGACCATATCCTTTCATTGGCCCCGGCTCCACAGAGATCAGGTAAAATTAACACAAAGATGGGGAGACATTTTGCTCAGATTATTGCTAATCCTGCAAAAAGATCCTATGCTTTACAGAAGAGAAATTTGAGGCACAGAAAGGGTGAGTAACTTTCCTGAGATCACTCAGCAAGTTAGTGGAGGAACGAGTATTGACACTGATCAGTCTGTCCACGAAGTACATGCTCATGGGGATCCTATGACTTTTGCCCATTTTCAAAGATTTTCAAACTTAAGGACTGAGTGATATTCATCTGCAATAAAAACCAAAGATTAGAAAAATCAGAGCAACACATGCATTGTAAATTCCGAAATGATACTGGAGGTAAAGGAAAAGGCATTTTGTTTCATTGCAATAGACGTTTCTGAGCACCTGCATGGGAGCAGGAATGATCTCTGTATGAATACATGTATCTAATTCTCAGAGCTGAGGGTTAAGGAGATCCAAAAGCCTGCCAAAGATAGCTCAGGTAGAAAGTAGCGGAACTAGGAGCACCTGGGGGCTCAGTCAGTTAAGCATCCAGCTCTTGATTTCAGCTCAGGGCATGATCTCAGGGTTGTGGTATCGAGACCCATGTTGGGCTCTGCACTCAGCAGTGAGTCTGCTGGAGCTTCTCCCTTCCTCTCCCTCTACCTCACTGCCAACTTGTGCATGCTCTCCGTTTCTCTCTCAAGTAAATGAATCTTCAGGAAAGAGAGAGAGAAGGGGGGGAAAGTAGCGGAAGTGGACTTTGCAGACCTCATCTCTTGCTCTTTGAATGAACGTGGCTGCCTCCACATACACAAGTCATAAGTCATTGTCAGAAGCATCTCTCTTGGACACTTTCTTAGAGAAGACCTTGATGCGTTCTGGGTGTTCCTGGGATGAGTGGGGAGGAAGACCGTCCAAAGTTCAAAGGCCATGGATGGAGGTCAAGGGCAGGGAAAGTCAAATGAAGGCCTACCTAGAGTTCTCATTTTATATAACTCAGCTATGCTGAAGACTACATAGATAATGGGGAGATGAGGAAGACCATGTTGAGTGAAAGGAGCCATTCTGGTTCTCTGTTGCTACTCTAAAAACAGAGTAGTTTACCACAACAGTCATTTAATGACATGTTTGTTGTTGTGGGTCAGGAATTTGGGCAGGGCTCAGATAGGAGATTCTTCTGCTCCATGTAGCTCTAAGCAGGGTCACTCAGTGGGGTTCACCTATAGGGTGGTCTGGAGAGTTGAGCACATGCTAGATGCTTGGAGGAGACAGCTGGAGGGGTGGGCTCCTCCAAGGCCCTCTTCCCCTCCAGGTGGTCTCGGGACTTTTTCACACGGTCTCTCCAGCAGGCTGATCATTCTTACAAGGTGGTTCCAGGTGCACAAGTGAGCCGGTGTTTCCAGAGACAAGAAGTGGAAGCTTCCGGTCCCAGAGTGTCACTTCCACCATATTCTGTTGGCCGAAACAGAGGCCACCCAGGTTCAAGCAAGGAGACCTAGATCAAACCTCGTGACAGGAGGCATGTCCAAGAATGTGTGGCCTTCTTTACTCTGCCCCAGGAGAGCAGAAATATTCCCTCGGCACCTTCAGACCTTTCTCGGTTGGCACTAAGTACCTTGACATTTCAGAGAAAACCCTTCACGTTTCACTAACTCGTCGATGAAACTCAGTACTTCTCCCCTGAATGTCAGCAGGATCTCCCTTTTTCTTTTCCTTCTAGGTCTTTCCACAGCTTCTCAGGATCATATAACAGGTAGTCACTTGTTTTAAACTGTGATGGTAACTCAACACCAAGAGAACCGTCATAGCAGAGGCTAGGCAGAGTGCCCAGGATGTGACACAGAGAGGCAGGCACAGCACAAGTGAGGGGCTGCTTGTCTACCTCCCAGGCCAGTCCTGTCATGGCCCCTTCCATGAGAACGCCAAGGGAGTCAGCATCCCAGCCAATGCAGCCCCTCTGTTCCCACCATAGCCTCCCCAAGGGGCATGCATTTGCATGACTAAGGCCTGCAAATATTGACTTGCTAGCCCAAGGGGCAGGCTGGGAAGGGGATATGTGGATCTGCCCAGGTCAGAGAAGGCGGGAGGGTGACAAGGGACCTGAAGAGAATGTGGTGGTCATACCCAGCCTGTCTTCTAAGAGTGCAGTCCTGGAGGGAGCACCCACAATGGGTGTCAGCTCACGAGTAGAGGTTTCAAGAAAACCAGTCCCAGGCTTCTCGTGTCTGTCTGACCTGGCCCAGTTGTAACTACAACACAACTAGCAGGATAGCTCCAAGCTGACTTGGTGCACCCTTACTTGCCAACATCTGTCACACGGAAGACCAAGAATCTTGGAATTCTGAGAGCATGACAAGTTAGTCAGGCAAAAACAGAAAGGAGAAAATTAAGCAACTTGGTAATTCAGGAAACGAGGTCAACAACTCGTGTTGTGTTTTCAAATTTCCTCTAAAATAATTTGAGGATTCTAAGATCTCTGGTTTTTTGTGTGGCGTGCTGCGTGTGTGTGTGCACGTGTGTGTACATATGCATGTGTATTGATTTATATGAATATATTTTATATAACATAAATAATATATATACAAATATAATTTGTATCTATTTATATGAATATAATATATTGTATATAATATAAATAATATAAACATATATAAGATATTTTACATAATATAATATAGAAGAATTAGATTTCACTTATGTAACTCTTACAAATCCAAAGACCTGTAAGTTCCAGTCTCTGTAGATACTGAGTTAAAGGAAACACAATCTACCCAGAAAAGGGGGTGAAAAAGAACTTAAGGGGACGGCCAGTCATAGCCTCCTTCAACAGGCCACGTTGTCCCCTTCTCCCCAGCTCATCAGACACAACGTTGTTCTGGAGCCTCTTGTTCTGCAAACCTTCCCAAACTCTCACTTTACCTAGGTTCAACAGCGTCTGTCCCTTCGTCCTGCTTTCCCAATTCACCATGTAGATCCTCTCTGCCTCTCTCCCCACAAGCAAGAATCTTTCCACCTTAGAAGAATGAGGGGATAGCGAATAGACCTGAAAAATATAATATTTTCTTTAGCAGAGGGTAAGGGGAGAGGAAAAGACAGGGACCTCCCATATATTAATATTCTTGTTGCATCAGAATGAGATCGAATGCACTCTCCCTCCCTGGAGACGTTTAGGCTAAAAGTCTGTACAGACAGACTGTGTGTGCCCACTGGGGGGACCACTGCCGGACTCACCCAGGTGTGAGCGGGTCACGACTGGGGTCCCCTCGGGGCCACCTCGGGGACACATGCTGGCATCCTTCTTCCTCTGGCTTCAGGAGGAAGTGGCTCCTGTGGAGGGGTCTTGTCGAGTCTGTCCGGCTCCTTCTCCAGTCCGCTGTACCCGGAAAGCTACCCGACAGACATCCAGTGCATCTGGGAGATTCACGCGGACAAAAAATTCCGCATAGAACTCATGATTCCGACTTTGAAGTAAGAAAACAACTTTTTCAGAGAAGATTCTTTTTAAATAAGTGTATTGGTTTGTGAATTCAAAATAAAGATATTTCTTTTAGTGGGAAACATTTGCGGAGGAAATTCTTCCCAATTTGAAGGTCAAATTAATTTTGTAGCCCTATCCAACGAGTTCCTTCTACTTGGAAAAACTGAGTAAATGGTTTACTGACAAATTCAACTCAACCTCATGAGGATAGCTTTTTCTTTTGACTTTTTTCCTAAGAATGTCACCCAAGTCCTCCTTACCAGCTTTGCCCTTGTTATACAATGGGTACCGATACTTAGGCTCTTAGAATTTCTTTTTCCTTTTTCTGAATTTTAAACAAGCAGTAGGAGGCTTCCCATTCACCCACGTGAGCCGCCTACTCCAGCCCCAAGCCCCAGATCTTCTCAATGTTGCCTCCAAGTGAAAGGAGCCAGTGGAGGCCTGGACTTATCTCTGACACACAGGGGATACATCTCTCTGAGGCACTGACTTTTTTTTTTTACCTCCACGGCATAAAATAACAGCCGACATGTCTTTTAGTGTTGCCTGTGTATCCAGGCTCTGTACTATGTATTTTGTTTTGTTGTTTTTTTTTTTTAGATTTTATTTATTTATTTGATAGAGAGAGACACAGTGAGAGAAGGAACACAAGCAGGGGGAGTGGGAGAGGGAGAAGCAGGCTTCCCGCTGAGCAGGGAGCCCAATGTG